AGTAAATAGAGAGACATTTTGGAGGTCTATGGGATCGAATCTTGCCTTAATCACCCGTGCTTTCCAACATTCCCGGGTCAAGGAATTCGTATCAGACTTTGGTGGGAGGTTTCAAATGGTGCGATCATCGCTTATCCCCGTAAGGCATTGTTCACAGTTCACGACGTTGGCAAAGTTGCTGCTTCCGCGAAACTGCTTGGATACGTATCGATTGGGAGAATAGGCTCAACGCGCGGTCGCCCACTCTCCCAATCGATACGATTCCAACCGGACTCGCCGATGTTCCCCACTGATACATATCTTTTGAGGTCCCCACTGTGGACAGTGCCTAAGTCGGCGCTGTTCGACTTAGGGAGGGGGGGGGCAGTTTGCATTTTCGTTAGATTCTGTAGGTAGTTCATGCTAAATCGCAAGTTTCACCTTTACGAAACTCTATCACTCTTGTCAGTAGTGACAAGTGGCGCGCTTACCACTCGCGCGGCGCCGGGTTCGAATCCCCCGCCCAGGCCAACCAAGCCTTCTACCCTCCGGGGACGGTAAATTGGTACCAGATTCGTCTGGGAGGATAAAACACTGACTTGTACATCGGCTGGCCACCGCAAGTCATTGTATAGGCCACATCGCATTCAATAAGCCACTACGATTCTGAATGGAAGTAGAATGCGTGCCGCATCCCACAAAGGGATTGATCAACGGCGAAGACTTTATCCTTTATCCTTTAATTGCCCAAATAATGAAGGCACGAACGAAGCGCAACAACGAGTGATGGGTGGTCGCTAGCGCCAGTAGGCGGCGACTCAAATGCATTACAGCCTTTGACGACCTTGCCACGCACATTCGACCCGGCGAACATGGTAGATCCACTACGGTTGCGCTTTTGTAATGAAAATATCTCAACTGTCGGGAAAATGCGTGATGTGCCTCTGAAGGTCTATATGGCTACTAGGTACCCAGTCGGGTCAAAGCCAGAACGTGGAAAGCCCAAAAAACCGCACTTCCCAATAGAGCTATTGTACGAAATACATAGCCACTGCATCTTTGAGTATACAATAATTAGGAATGGATGGGCTTCCTTGTAACGACGGTAGTAGACGCAAGGTCCCGATGAAGCCTGCGTCGTCATCGACGCTTGGATCCCTTGATAAGCTGGAGCCACATAAGAACACTTCATGTCGGAGAAAAAAGGGGCGTCCCGGCGACAGCGGTGCATCCCCATCCCGGGTCTCCTATCTTGTGCGTACGTCTCTGCCTTTCTCCCGTCTGGACCCTGCA